GACATGGATGTCTCTACTTTGTAAAGTGTAGGAAAGAGGGACGTCATCTAAACCGTCGACGTTCAAGATTGACGATAAATGTACAAAATAAAAGAAAATGATAACTACCTTTATGACAAACATTTTTTCGGCTCACATCTGCCGAGCAACGGAATGAAACTAAGACGTCTTCAATGATCAGTGATCTGTCTAAAAAACTGTGCTTACTTCAAAAGTTTGAGTCTCGCGAAGTAATGCCTGCGTAGTGTCTCCTCTCGTCATTATTATAGTCAGTCAGTGTAAACAACCGTAGTCTAATTAGAATATATAGTGTGTAGACAGATTGAGTATTAATGTTTAATATGTATGCATAATACCTTAATTACATGGATTCCAATTTAATTTTATCAATTTTTATGATGAATATATTAAAGCAGCTTAGCTCAGTCGACTAATCTGGTGGTAGCCGCTGTGTGTGCGCGCTGAACCGTGGTGATCTCTAGGTCCCCGGTTCAATTCCTATCGCTGCCTCTCCTCGTGTTTCAGTTAGAGGGCTGAAATACAAGTTACAATAGCGCATCATCTTTCAGATGAGACGTTTAAGCCGTTGGTCCCGTGTGCATTATGGCCCATGTGCACGTTAAAGAACGCAGTACACTCTTCAGAAAAGAGTAGGGGACTGTCTCTCGGTTTACTGCCCTATCACCACCTCGAAGGACCCCACTGGAAATAAGTCTTCTTCTAGACTTTCGTGGGCTATCCTTGGTGTTTACACCGAATAAATCCAATCCAATCCAATCCAAATGGCTATTAATTAACATTACGTTTATCGAAAATTATCATCAAATGTCAAAAGACTCAGTATTTTGATGAAACTTATATTATTACTTATATTTAGATGCACCATAACGCAAACATCAATTTACAGCCGACATTCATAACCGCAATATGGTTAAGTAAAATATCATGGTAGTCGACTTATTATAAACCGGAATTCGTTGTAAATCGAATCCGATTGGAGGTAATTAAATTATATAATCTTTGTGTTGAGCAGCGCTATATTATACTACGTGTAACAGAGATCAATAAGATACACCTTTATAAAACAAGATCGCTGTATTATAAACATGATAAATATACAAGTTATTACATACATACTTTCAACTTTTATTGACGACTTTCCAGTATCCTACCTCAAATACACGGTAATTGGAACAAAACACGGTAATTGTAATAAATTAGAACTTAATAATTTAACATTAGTGTATATATTGTTCTGTACAGTATTCTATTATTTTATTATAAAACTTCATTGTCATTCAACAAATAATAAATACAACTACAAATGCTCCTTTTGCGCTGCTCAGTAAAGGCATAGCCTCACAACACTGATTTTTCTCTGAGAATTGATGAGTAGTAGTTTGAAACTAATCAGTCTTACCGAACTCTAGTTATCGTGGTAACAAATAATTTTCTACACCAGTGACCATGACAGCAACATGAAGAATATTACAATTATTACAACCAAATTAAAAGTTTTTATGGGAATTAGGATGATGGTATGGTAAATGTTCTCATTAATATTAAGTACGCAATTAGCATAATCACACACGTACCAAAAACAGTAGGCTCTGTTTTCTTATTACTATCTTATATTCTGCCAAGTTTGAAAGCAATTGGAATTACCAACTTTAGTTATTGTGGTAATTAGCCTAAATTACCTGATTAGTGAAAGGCTCCGTTTTATATTACCATCTTGCATTCCAAGTTTGAAACCAGTCGGACTTGCCAAACTTTATTTATTGTAAATTTATCAACAACGAAGACAACGACGACGACGACGACAACAGCAGAAGAACATGAGCAAAACCTCGCTCTTTTGGGAGGCATAATTATTTATTAACAAATTAAAAATAATATGTAGTTAGTACTGTACAGTGAATTTATAGACATTCGAACCTAGAACCCCGACATTTGAAAGCGAGCACATTACCCAACCATCATTCCAAACAATCAGTAGGCCTACTTGTACTATAAAGTTCATTAGGGTCGTGACCCAAAGTAGGGTTGCCAATATTTTTGTAAGGTCGCCCACATTGTATGAAAACAACAAACCTTTTTCAGGAATCGGTAGACATCGTGAAGTGATGACAAACATTGCGAATCAGCGGTGCGTAACCAACAGAAATAAGATAAGCTTTTGGGCTGGTTTTCTGACATCATGTTATTTAACAAATCATAACTCCAAAACGGGGCGTCGTATTCAAAAAAAATGTTCCAGCAAAATGTTCAGAAAAGACTAGTCTACACCACTATATGATTGAAAAAAAATGTTTTTGACCTCTGAAATTAAGATGGAAAAAGAAAAGCCTATCTAAGAGTGTATTAAAATAGGTCTATGCATTACAGTGCAGTAGTACTAGTAATACTCTGGACTAGCATTGTTTTAGTTACCATATATGAGAGTTATGGGGTTAAAAACATGATTTACTATACTACTTCTTTATAAAACATAACTTGTACTTTATAATAAGAGAAATCTCTATATTATCGTTACCTGGAACAGTAACAACACGAAAGTGCTATACTACAGCACTGTAATGCATAGGCCATGGGAGTCATTGATAATATACAATATAAGAGAATTGGAAAAACGGTTGTCTTTGAAATTCACTTTGCCATGATATAATATGTGTACAAACCCGGAAAAAGATGCTGAATCTAGCCGCACCCATCCCCCTCAAATACAGCCATAAGATTTAAAGTTAGCGTGGATATACTCTCCCTCTTTGGAAATATTGCACCTCTGAATATTCGAAAATAGCAGCTGCCAATCCTGTAGAGCATCACCCCCCACCCCCATCCTGCTGTGCATCGAATATTCATACCCTGCTAGCTCAGCCCAACATGGACAATGTAGGTCTACTGCGAAAATGATAAACTGTTCACAATTTTAATTTCTATCAGTGCCATAACAAGATGAAATAAGTTACTAATTATTTCTCCATGAATACAAGGAACACAAATACATTATAATACAATAAATAACATGCCTGGTGTTTACACAACGTGCAAAGTATTATGAAATATAAACAATATAATGCAATATGCTATGTATTATGAAATAGGACTACAAATATGAATACCGTAGAGTTCCGAATAACATACTGCTAATACAATTTTAATTACACTTTCAGGTACTTGCCAAATGTGGCCTGAAGCAATAATACATTATTCATAACGCCCTTGAGTCGTACTATCACTTGAATTGTTATTAAGGTTTTTTAATTAAGCTCTGAAATATTTGCTTTGCTCGGCGTTATACAGATTACACTTTCATTTGAGTCAATTCTTGGTTTTATTATGGCAGACACGCCATGTAGCTATTACCTCCATGGATAAATCTAGGCCTACTGATATCTCTTAAGACATAGCCATTTTTTTATTTTTTAGAAGAAAACCAAGCTATGTGTATGCTATTGATGATATTATTGATAGTTGGATTTTATTATGCACTGTATAGTAGGCTTTATATTAGCTGTATAGAATTATATTCAAATATGCTTTATAATTGCTATATAGCAACTGTATATAAATATATAAATAACTCTGTCTGTGGCTACAATACACTGATATAGCACCTATATTTGATAGTTGATATTTGGGTATTACGAAGTTGCTTCATATATGCTATATATCAGTTTTATTAAAATATAGAATAGCCTAACTTTGTAGTTACACTGATATAGCAGCTATATTTGATAGTTGATACTTGTGTATTTTAAAGATGATTTCTATGTGCTATATATCAGTTGAAATGAAATATAGAATAACTGTGTTCCTGCGTAATTTCCATTCACATAGTGTAGTCACAATACTACTTGCACAAAAGTGAAATTCAATAAGCGGAGAAAAGGAAAATCCTCTTAATTGATTTTAAATGTACTGTACATGCAAGACTACAGAATTGGAGTGACTGTTTTAATCCATGAAGGAACATGGTTTATCATTTGCTTTTCATGATTTAAGTATCAGTAAATAATAAATCATTATTTTTTATGAATGTTAGTTTGCACGAAATATGTAAGCGGGCATGATTATGGTTACCCCAAAATAAAAAAAAAATTATGTTGAGTATTTCAGCGGCAGATTTAAGGGGGGAAACAGTCGGCCGGCCCACCCTCCCTAATTTTTTTCAAATTTAAAAGTGGAGAAAAAAGACAATTATATATTGAGAGTGCCATTTCCAGCGAACTAGAGGTGCTATAATCATACATTTTCTTACCTCAGCCCCAACCATGGTGGGGCTGAGGTAGTCTCCCGGGTGGTCAACACTCCATCTGTAAGAGTCCCCCTCTATTTCGAATTTCAGGATCCGCCACTCTATTTTGAAAATGTAGTGTGAAAGCCATTTTTTATTGCATTCCTTAAAATTAATTAGATACGACTTATAAAAGCCTACCAGAGCTTCCGAAGGCTTCGCCCCTGGACCCCCACTGTGCCAGCCCTAGGCGCCCCCCTGACCCCCAGCCAATGCTTGGACATACGACCCAAGACTTCCTTATTTTGC